AGTGTTCTCTTAGCATCCAATTTAACACAGGCCCAAGAAGAACCGGAAATGATTCTAGGAAGAGATTCCATGACCCAGGTGAGTGAATCAGAATCTAACCATAATTGTATGTTTCTTCTCCTTTTATCAGTAATACTGAAGATCTTATTGTAGACTGAGTAAAAAAGCTCAAATACCTTATGAAGAATTCTGAATTTGAAGCTGATGTTCTTGCTAGGCCATGGAGAGGAGTGTTCTTTCTGACCCTGTAAGATGATTCTCTGTTCTGAAAGCACATATGAGTTTTTCAGGCCGTATACCTCAGGGGATTTGAAAGGCCATCTAAAGTCTCGATTTTGAAGCTTCGAAGAACTGTGTTGTGAAGTGTTCTTTGGGTGCTGATTCGGCCAATGAAGCCAGATCTATTGTACGAATTGTGATAATATTGCCGATGCCTAGAAGGAGCATTTGGGTATACCTTAGGTTGTATCTTGAACCCATAGATTGGCCGTTGATAGTCTGGACAGAAATTGAAGTGACGACGACGACCGCTGAAGAAATCGCCGGAGCTTTCTCGCTCTAAAAACCTGGCCATAACAGCCATGATATATATATATATATATATATATATATATATATCTATGTATGTATGTATGTATGTATATGTATGTATGTTCATTTCTAAATTGGCCAAACTAAAATATATTAAAAAATGAAATAATTTTTTAGGGAGAAAAACTTATTCCTTAAAAAATACACTTAAAAAAATACAGCGCCAATCCAATTGGGATTGCCGCCTAACTTCCCTTTTCGCTGTGAAGAAGTATTTTGGTGAAAAGTTTGGTGAAAATTTCTGATTTCTCTTCTCAGATTCACAATCCCGTGCAAAAGTCCTGCCGCCTGCGTACAAGCTCTCCCTCTCCCTCAGCCACTCCTTCCGACGACAACAGTATTCGACCAGAGACCACCGATTTCTGTTGGTTTTTCCCTGGTGTTTCTAGGGATTTAACCAGAGGGACAAGAGCTCCGTCCGCCACTCGTTTCCCAGTCTTTGGCTTACTCAATTCCAGGTAATTTTCTTTCCCAAATCAGGTTATAATGTTTAATTTTTTCCCCGAGTATGATGATTTTGGTTAATTTTGTAATGAGGGTTTGAGCATCTTATCACCTTTCTTATTCAATGATCCATAATATTTGTCTTTTCTTTTGTTTGAATCCATTTTGTTTATAAACTTTGGTGCAATTTGTTCATCAATTGGGTTATGAAGTTTGATTCTATGGCAGCATTTGTGGCCATTCCTGAATGTTTTTCTTGTATTTGTTTGAGCAACCTAAATACTTCGTATTTATGAAATTACTAGCTTCCGTACTGGCTTAATTCTGGTTATAAGGTGGCTTAATACTGGCCAAGTACTTCGTGTTTGGTTTTCAACATCTGGTTTTAAGGTGGATGTTTTTTGTCTTGGTTTTGGCTGCTAGGTTTTAGAGGGGACTGCTTATTTTGGCAACTAGGTTATTTTGGCAGCTATGTTTTGGAGATGCTTATATCTTGGAGATGATTATTTTGGCACCTAGGTTTTCGTGTTTGCTTTTCAACATCTGCTTATTTTTGCAGCTAGGTTTTAAACATCTTGTGTTTGTTTTGAGCAGCTTGCTTTTGGGGGGATGTTTTTTGGTTATCGGGTACTGGTTTTAGGTTTTCAATATCAGGCTTTTGGGTTTTAGCACTTGGCTTTTGGGTGGGCTGGTTTATGGTTTCAGTTTGAAAACTTAAATGAGGAGCTAGTTTTTAGGAGCTAAAGAAGGCATTGAAATCAAATGAAACCAAAATCTAAAGAAGGCATTGAAATAAAATCTAAAGAAGGCATAAACCAAAACTTCAAATGAAACCATAATCAAATGGCTTTTGGTTTCATTTGTTAATCTAATTTCAAATGAAACCATAAACCATTAGCTAGTTTTGGGTGTGCTGGAGGCTTTAAGGTTTTCAATTTCAATGCCTAATTTCTCAGAACAGTGTGTTAAAAAAATTCTTCAAAGTTTTCTACTTCTCTGGTTCTCCCAATGAAAACAACCATGTGCTTCACTTCATCTTTGGAGAATAAGGTATAGAATTTTGGGCTGTTTTGATCAAATTATATAAATCCCAATCCAACTTAAACCCTAGAACCATCTCTTATTCTTCATCGACTGTAAAAATAAGACTATGAAAGAAAGCAGAAGCGACTGATGTTTTTGACACAACCAGTTTTTTTCTTTAAGCAAAGCATCGTTTTTTGCAGACTACACTACTATACATACCCAGCGAAGACTTCTTTCAGTACCAGCTTGGTCTCACGTCCATGGCAGCAGGCAAAACTAGTTGTCCTTACACTTGGTAGCGACTAGCGAATCTAGCTGTCTAATACAACAAATGATCTGGTCTCACGTGCATAATTCATACACTAAAAAGCATTCTTATTGTAATGAAACTTCAAAGTCATGTTTGGTAGAAATTACTTTTCCTTTAGGAAAGTTGTTGAATAATGGGTTTCTTTTCATTGGACTTTCTCACTAATCACCACATCAAACTTTAACCCTAACATAAAGCCTAAACATGCTCTTTTTTCAGCTAAAGAATCACATGGAAAGCTCTTCCTAGTTCCTATAGGACTTTTTTAAAAATAATGTTGTGAAGAAAATGATATATTTTCCGTCACGATAACCATGTTTATTCAGACCAAGGATGTAGAACTAATCAAGGATTGAACCATGATGAAGCACAAAGAAAATATAAATATTATTTCTTTAAAATCATTTAAGAAATGCTCTTTTGAGTTATAGATATTTTACCCAACAGCAGTAATGGGTAAATTGGGACGACTAACACAGCATGCATGTTCCATTATTAGGAAAAAGAACCCAGGGAAAAAAACAAAGTGTACAACACATATTTTAATAATATTTTTAGAAATTATTTGGCATAAGCTAGCATACAAGACAAATTGTTCCAGCCATTTAATATAGTTCTGGTATTAAGAACAACATGTTCCTACACTCGTGTTGGACTCTCTTTTTTACCCTCTTTTTTACCTTATTGACCAAATTCTTTAAATAGATTACACCCACATACAAAAATTTCGGTATAGTAATTCAGTAAAATTAGAAATAAATTTTTTATATTCAAAATTACATTATAAAAATGAGAGTCAAGGAGTCGAATCAAAGTCAACAGAAGCTGGTAGGGGGAGGGGTGGAGGCAGAGTGTCGGAAGACCCATCACGCTCCATCTTTGAACCAAAGAAAAGTGTGTAAAAACAATATAGAATCTTCTATGATAATCTAGTGATTAGGGTCCTCTAAATTATTCTATTACATTATGAAAGTTTGTAGAGATTTTCTAGAAGACTATGAAGATGTTGAGATGTATGAAAACTTCTAGAGAAGTCTAGTTCTAGTGGTGCGGCAATCCCTACTGCCTTCTATGAACAAAAACCGAAATGGAAAAGCCATTGTTGAGTCTTTGTTTATTCCAATGTTTCAACTCTTTTTGTATTTGCTTGTTATACTTGTAATCTTAATTTTATACATAATATTTTAATTTGTTTTTTGAAGGTATTATTGTCTTTTTGGATGGCTCCTAACAAGAAATGGATGAGATTTTTCAACGATTGTCTAAACAAAGAATATAAAGACGGTGTTAAATCCTTTTTGAATTATGCTTTTCAAAATACGGGTGGAGAAAATACCATATGATGCCCGTGTGTCAAGTGCCAAAATACTGGATCGCAAACTCGCAAGACAGTTGAAATGCATCTTATTATCCATGAAATTTTACCAAGTTACAGTTTCTGGTATCACCATGGTGAAAGGAGAGGTTAGCCTCAATGTGATTATGAAGAACTAGAAGAAGGTGAAGATGATACTGACGTTCATGAAATATCTGAAGATTTGTATCCTCACTATTATGGTCAAAATGAGAGGGATTCACAAAGCGGTTCTTCGGGTCATATTCATCATCAAGAACCAAATGAGGAAGCAACAGCATTTTATAGGTTGTTAAATGACCTTGATCAACCAGCATACATAGGTTGTGAGACTTTTAAGTTATCTGCAATCGTCAACTTATTAAACATTAAGAGCATGGGTCGGTGGAGCAATGATTCGTTTGACATGTACCTCAAACATACTCTGATGCCAAAAAGATAATCAAAGATCTTGGGCTCTCTTAAAAGAAGATAGATGCATGTCCTAACAATTGTATGTTGTATTGGAAAGATGACGAAGTGCTTGACTCGTGCAAAATTTGTGGTGCTTCAAGGTGGAAGGAAAATTATCATTGTGGGGAAGTTAAAATTAGGAATTATGGTAAGAGTAGACCTGTGCAAATAAGGATCCGGGTCAGATTTGGGCCGGGCTTGATACAAATTATTAGCCCATTTGCATGGGCGGGCTTGGCCAGGCCCGGATTTGATGGGCTAAATTCTTTACCCATACCCGCCCACCTTAGCGGGCCGAACTACCCACCGGGCCTCCTGGCCCGGTTAAAACATAAAGAAAAATCTTTTTTACACAAAAAAATCAAAAAGAAAACATTGAACTCGCCACATTTACATAGAAAACATAATAGAAATATTGTTACATAATTAATAAACGCATCATAGAGATTTATTAAAAGACTATTGATTTTTGTTTAAGAGGGGTGAGTGATATGAACTATTATACATGAATTAAAGAAAATTTTAAAATTTATATTGTCTAGGTAATTAGTAATAAAATAAATGTATTTAATAAATATGGGCGGGCCTTTTGGCCCGAATGGGCTAAAAGTAACTTCCAGATCCGCCCAAATACAATTTGGGCTTGGGTCGGCCCGCCCATGTGGGTATTAAAGATTGTCCATATCCGCCCATTTTAAAGGGTGGGCTGGGCGAGCTGGACGGGCCGACCCTTGTTTGCACAGGTCTAGGTAAGTGATGGCTATAAACCACCGAGAGTATGAAATAATAGAAGTTTTAGAGAGAGAGAATGCAAAGTAGGAGTATATTGACTTCAAATTCGGATCCATTACAATGAGGGGTGCCACCCCTTTTATAGGGGGTACAATACACTAAGTCAAAGCTCTCTGATCGACGCCCGTCGTCTAGCGGACGTCACCTGCTCTTACGTCTTGTCCCTTTCATCCTATCGCTTTCATCAAGTCTTCGTTGAACGTCGCTTTCCGCACGTCGTTGTCGCGGGGCTCGGGCTCGGCTTGGTTTGCCGAGCCGAGCAGGAAGGACGAGCGGAGCGCAGAGCCGAGCAGGACGGACGAGCGGAGCGCAGAGTCGGACAAGAAGGATGAGCGGAGCGCAGAGCCAAGCAGGACGGATGAGCGGAGCGCAGAGTCGGGCAGGAAGGACGAGCGGAGCACAGAGCCGGGTAGGAACGCCCAAGCCCGATACTTAGGAAATTTATGCTGATGTCAGCCCTAGGCTGGTGTGGGGTTATTCCCCATCAGAAGCCCCCCACTCTCCGGGTTCCTTGGCAGCTGGCAATGGAACGCGCGAGAGTAGAAACAATGTGGATGGGGTGGCGCATGGGCCCGCGTGTTGATCGGTGGACAAGTGGTGACGTTTCGCCTTCCCAAGCAAGGTGGCGGCCCATTATCCAAGCCATCAACCCAACGAAGACCCAGGCTCGCCTTGCATCGGCGAGTCCACCGGCCATTCCTTCATCGGTGGAGCTGCTTCACCTTCTTCCTACCCTCCGCCGTGCCCATGCAACTACTAGTGGAATTGCGGCAAGTGGTACTAAGATTATGCGTTTCTATGTTTTAACTCTTGTAAGGCGTGTGCGCCATGTATTTCCCCTTTTCCTCTTGAGGAGGACAGAGCCGAGCGCGAGTGTTGACCTTCATCCGGGAAGAACATCCAGGTATGGCCTACGCTCGTCCATCCTCTTGAGGAGGACGGAGCCGAGCGCGAGCATTGACCTTCACCCGAGAAGAACATCCGGGTATGCCTATGCTCGTCCATCCTCTTGAGGAGGACGGAGCTGAGCGGGAGTGTTGACCTTCATCCGGGAAGAACATCCGGGTATGGCCTACGCTCGTCCATCCTCTTGAGGAAGACAGAGCCGAGCGCGAGTATTGACCTTCATCCCGGAAGAACATCCGGGTATGGCCTACGCTCGTCCATTCTCTTGAGGAGGACAGAGCCGAGCGCAAGTGTTGACCTTCATCCGGGAAGAACATCCGGGTATGGCCGTGCTCACGCTTGGGCTCGCTTTACCAAAGACGTGCTCGACTCGTCTCGGTGCCCAACCGAGGGCGAGCGCGGGCTCGCTTTATCCTCGTGGAGCTCTGCCCAAACCTTGGCCTTGGTGCCTTTGCCCACCGGTCCAATCTAAGGCGTTTGCGCCGTGTATTATCCCCTTTTTCAGGGATGAATAAGATATGAATTTGATTTTATGTCTCATTTTTTTAGTTATTATTTTGAGCGTGCGTGTTTGACCTTCATCCGGGAAGAACATCCGGGTATGGTCTACGTTCAGTTTTCCTCCCGAGGAGAAGTGCCGAGCGCAAATGTTAGACCTCCATCCCGGAAGATCATCCGGGTATGGCCTGCGCTCGGCCTTCCTCTCGAGGAGGAGCGTCGAGCGCAAATGTTAGACCTCCATCCGGGAAGAAAATCCGGGTATGGTCTGCGCTCGACCCTCCTCCTGAGGAGGAGCGCCAAGCGCGAGTGTCTGACCTTCATCCGGGAAGAACATCCGGGTATGGTCTGCGCTCGACCCTCCTCCTGAGGAGAAACGCCGAGCACGGGTGTTTGACCTTCGTCTGGGAAGAACATCCGGGTATGGTCTGCGCTCGGCCTTCCTCCCGAGGAGGAGTGCCAAGCGCGAGTGTCTGACCTTCATCCGGGAAGAACATCCGGGCATGGTCTGCGCTCGCCCTTCCTCTTGAAGAGGAGCACCGAGCACGAGTGTTTGACCTTCATCCGGGAAGAACATCCGGGCATGGTCTGCGCTCGGCCTTCCTCCTGAGGAGGAGCACCGAGCACAAGTGTTTGACCTTCATCCGGAAAGAACATCCGGGTATGGTCTGCATTTAGTCTTCCTCCTGCGGAGGAGCGCTGAGCACGGGTGTTCAAGCGAGCTCTTTTCGCAAAAACTTCATTCCATTGAGTTCAACCGAAAAGATTTACGCTCACTTCGTATAGTTTCCGCCCTCCCAAGTGTACCCGGGTGCCCTAGTCCGGACCAGCTTGGCCTTATTTGCATCATCCGGGAGGGCGCCATCCTTCAAGAAGGCAACTATGTCGTCCATCCAATCTCTTGGCCGAGCACAGATCATCGCCACGGGGAAGGCATGGATGCTCGGCTCGGACAACTCTTCCACGTTCGCCATCCGCCTGATGTGCTCGGGCGTGTCCGAGCTCAGCTTCGACAAGATATCCGCCTCGGCATTCTCCGCCCGAGGGATCTGCTCCACACTATACGCGGTGAAACTCTTAAGTAACTCTAGANTTTGCATCATCCGGGAGGGCGCCATCCTTCAAGAAGGCAACTATGTCGTCCATCCAATCTCTTGGCCGAGCACAGATCATCGCCACGGGGAAGGCATGGATGCTCGGCTCGGACAACTCTTCCACGTTCGCCATCCGCCTGATGTGCTCGGGCGTGTCCGAGCTCAGCTTCGACAAGATATCCGCCTCGGCATTCTCCGCCCGAGGGATCTGCTCCACACTATACGCGGTGAAACTCTTAAGTAACTCTAGAATGGTATCTCTGTACTTCTTCATTCTTTCGTCCTTCGCCTCGAACTCTCCCGAGACGTGGCAAACCACCAGCTTTGAATCACACTTTACCCTTAGCTTTGTTGCGTTCATCCCGGCTGCTAGGCGTAGCCCGCACAGGAGCGCTTCATATTCCGCTTCATTGTTTGATGCCTTGAAACCGAATTAATTGAGTAGTATGCTCTAAAGCCTTCGGGAGCGATGACTACCACTCCACCGCCCGAGTTTTTGGTGGCGGAGGAGCCGTCGGTAAAAACTATCCACCAGTCATCGGCTTCCGGCTCTTCTCGGCTCGGCTCCTCCTGAGCGGTGCACTCCACCACGAAGTCAGCTAGCGCTTGGCCTTTGATCGCTGACCTTGGCTTGAATTCGATCTGGAAAGCTCCAAGGAACACCGCCCACTTGGACATGCGCGAGGGCGCGTTCGGGCTCCTGAGCAGCGCACCAATGGGCTGTTAGGAGAGCACTTGAACCAGGTGAGCTTGGAAGTAGGGTGTTAGCCGCTGCACGATTGAAACCACGGCCAGGACCGTCTTTTCGGCTACTAAGTACCTGAGCTCGGCACCCCTCAGCGTCTTCGCCGTATAATACACCGGGTGCTAAGCTCCACCTTCGTCTCGGACTAGGACCGGGCTCAAAGCTTTGGGTGAAACTCCCAATTATAAGTACAATGTCTCCCCCGCTTCGGGCTTCGCGAGAACCGGAGGGGAGAGGAGGTAGGACTTGAGAGATTCAAAGGATTGTTGGCATTCTTCCGTCCATACGAACCCTCGGGACTTCTTCACAGCTTGGAAGAACGGAGCGGCTCGGTCCGCTACCTTGGAAAGGAAGCGGCTGAGCGCACCCAACTTTCCGGTCAAGCGCTGCACCTCCTTGACATTTCGTGGAGCTTCCATGTCAAGGATGGCGCGCACCTTCTCAGGGTTGGGCTCAACACCGCGCCTGCTCACCATATGTCCCAAGAACTTGCCGCCATGAACTCCGAACGTGCACTTCTTCGGATTCAGCCGAAGGTTGTACTTCTCCATAATCTTGAAAACTCCTTCTAAGTCTTCCGCATGGGTGGTCGCCTTCTTGCTCTTCACAATCATGTCGTCGACGTACGCTTCCATGCTCTTCCCGAGGACGGGCGCAAAGAGCTTGCTCACCATCCTAGCGTAGGTCGCCCCGGCGTTCTTGAGCCCGAAAGGCATCACCTTATAACAATATACTCCGCTGGGGGTAGTGAAAGATGTCTTCTCTTCGTCCTCAGGGTGCATCCGGATTTGGTGGTACCCGCTGAAGGCGTCCATGAAACTCATGAGCTCGCAACCCGCTGTTTCGTCCACCAGCTGGTCGATGTTCGGGAGTGGGAACGGATCCATAGGGCAGGCCTTGTTTAGGTCGGTGTAGTCCATGCACATCCTCCAAGTGTTTCCCTTGGGTGCCAGCACCACGTTGGCCATCCACTCCGGGTACTTAACCTCTCTGATATGCCCAATGCTCTGGAGGGTGGCCACCTCCTTGGAGACAAACTCCCTCCGCTCGGATGAGAGGAACCGCTTCTTCTGCTTCACCGGCCTAGCCTCCAGGTTGACAGCCAAGTGGTGACATATGACCTTGGGGTCTACCCCCGGCATATCCCCGGGTCCCCATGTAAAGATCACGTAGTAGGCGGAGAGCACGTCCACTAAGCGCTTCCGCTGGCTCCCGGTCAGGCTCACCCCGACCTTCACCTTCCGCTCGGGTTCCCGAGGGTCGAGCGGCACTTCATCGACCTCCTCAGCGGGCTCGGCCTTCGACCGTGCTTCCAGCTTCCGCATTTCTTCTTGTGCGTGCACGACTAATGTCTCATCCCTTGGCAACTTCTTTGTGATTCCGACATAGCATGACCGAGCTAACTTTTGGTCTCCCCTCGCCACCCCGATTCCCGAAGGAGTGGGGAACTTCATGCACAAGTAGTATGGGGAGATCACACATTCCAAGTCCTCAAGGCGTGGCCGTCCTAGGATCATGTTGTGCGCGCAGCTGATGCTCACAACCATGAACTCCATCCTCAACCTGGCCTTGTGCGCACCATCCCCTACTATCACGGGCACGGTGATGACTCCTTCGGCCTCGATGGAGTCCCCCGTGAACCCGGAGAGAGGAGTGCGCACGGGCCTTAAATCCTTGCGGTCCAAGCCGAGGTCTTGAAAGGTCTTCGCATACATTATGTTGACCGAGCTTCCCGTGTCCACCAAGGTGCGGTGCACTATGGCGTTGTTGATCTTCATCCTCACGACTAAGGCGTCCCGGTGGGGGCTCAGCGTGTCCGAAAGATCCTTCTCCGTGAATTGGATTTGCTCTCGTCTTCCGAGCTTGGGCGTCGGCGCCTGTTGGACCTTGGCGACGAAGGCCATGTGCTTCCACCTCTTTCTTTGAGCGGCGGAGTCCCTGCCGATATTTCCTCCATGGATGAACCCCACCGGATATCCTTGGGCTTCGTCCTCGTCTAGTTCATCACACTCTCGCCCAATGTGCCTCTTCTCGGGGTTCCTCGCTTGCGTGGCCACCACGACCGGCTCGGTCGGCTTCCTCCATGTTCTCCCTTCCCGTGGACCCCGGGAAGGGGTTGCTCCATCGTCTCGCGGAGCCGGCCCTCGGGCGATGAGTCGCTGCATCTCCTTTTGAAGAGTGAAGCATTCCTTAGTGTTGTGAGTGTTGTTGCGGTGATACTCGCAGTACTTGGCGCCGCTGGACATCGCATAGGTCTCTACGTGCGGGAGCGGGGAGAGGGCTAGCTCTCGACCCGTCCCCGCGGGCGCACCGACGGAGTACACACCCGTCGAGGGCGTCCTCGGGCCCACAGTGTAGTCTTTCTTCTTCTTCCTCTTCTTCACTATCTCCTCTGAATCTGCGGGAGCTCGCTTGGTCGGCGCGGCCTCGGAGTTAGGGGCATCATCGAATTCCTCCGAGGCCAAGAACTTAGCGCGCGCCAAGGTTTCTTGGTACGTGGGGGAAGGATTCTTGCGGAGCTCCTTCCTCACCTCACCGCGGGGAAGAGCTGCTTGGAACATGGCCACCAAAGCTTGGTCATCCGCCTCGTGCACGTCTCTGGCTTCCTTCTCCCACCGGGTTATGATGTCGCGGATCTTCTCTCCTTTGCGAATGCATATGTTGAACAGGTGGGAGTAAGGTAGCCTCTGCCTTCGGTTGGCCGCGAAATGCGTCAAGAACTTCTCCGCTAGCGTATCCCAATCATCAATGGTTCCCTTCGGGAGCCGGTTGAACCAATCGCACGCGGAGCCCTCCAGCGTCGCGAGAAAGCATCGGCACTTGACCTCATCCGGGGCTGCCGCCGCTTCCATAGAAGCATAGAACTTAGACAAATGATCTTGGGGGTCCGTCGTTCCGTTGTAGGCCTTGATCTGCCACGGCCGGAAGTTTGCCGGCAGCGGAACCGACATAACCCTCGGAGTGAACGGGGTTACCGTCCGCAAGATGGGCTGGCTGTAAGGAGCCCTGGTCTCCACTCGGCGCTTGAGCTCAGCAATCTCACGAGCGAGCCGAGATACCCCCTGGTCAGAGGCCTTTGTTTTCTCAGTTCTTGTTGGACTATGGCGACGCTGGGTGCGCTTGTCCCGCCTTTCTCCGCTCCGCTCGGGCCTCGTCGAGCGAGCATCCGATGCCGCGGACTCTTCAGCATGCCTCCGCCTGCCTTCGGTTATTTGTCGGCGGAGGTCGCCCGGGTGACCTTCCGGTCCGCGGTCGAGCCTGTCGAAGGCCGACACCCGGGTCTCTTCACCTCCTAAGCGCTTGAAGGCCGACACTCGGCACTCGCTGGACTCATCATCTTCTCCTTCGGAAATGTCCTCCACTATCACCTCCTCGAACACTGGGGCTTTGTCGGGCCTCCTTTTGCTCCTACGGGTCTTCTTCCCCTTGTGTTGGGAAGTGGCAGTGTGTTCGGCATGGAGACCGGGCGGAGCTTTGCCAACCCCGGCGCCGGGCACGTTCCCACCCATGGCGGAAAGTGCCGCAACGGCTGCCTGGAGCTGCTCCGCGGTCACCCCCAAACCGAACAGCGCTTGGACCACGTCTGGAGTCAAGCCGATACCTCCCGTGCCGTTGCCGCTGCCCGGCGCGTTCTCCTCGCCAACGACGTGGCTGGTGGTGGGGACGTTGCTCCTTGTTTGCACCATTCTCGCGTTCGGGAGTTAACCTACGAGTATGTTCCTCTCCTCTCAACGAGAGCACCAATTTGATGGCTATAAACCACCGAGAGTATGAAATAATAAAAGTTTTAGAGAGAGAGAATGCAAAGTAGGAGTATATTGACTTCAAATTCGGATCCATTACAATGAGGGGTGCCACCCTTTTTATAGGGGGTACAATACACTAAGTCAAAGCTCTCTGATCGACGCCCGTCGTCTAGCGGACGTCACCTGCTCTTACGTCTTTTCCCTTTCATCCTATCGCTTTCATCAAGTCTCCGTTGAACGTCGCTTTCCGCACATCGTTGTCGCGGGGCTCGGGCTCGGCTTGGTTGGCCGAGCCGAGCAGGAAGGACGAGCGGAGCGCAGAGCCGAGCAGGACGGACGAGCGGAGCGCAGAGTCGGACAAGAAGGATGAGCGAAGCGCAGAGCCGAGCAGGACGGATGAGCGGAGCGCAGAGTCGGGCAGGAAGGACGAGCGGAGCACAGAGCCGGGTAGGAACGCCCAAGCCCGATACTTAGGAAATTTATGCTGATGTCAGCCCTAGGCTGGTGTGGGGTTATTCCCCATCAGTAAGACAGTGCCCATGAAGACAATTCGTTACTTCCCTTTAGCACCAAGATTTAAGAGGTTATTTATGTCTAGAAAGACAACATCTTTAATGAGATGGCATCATGACTCAAGAGTAGATGATGGAGCGATGAGACACCCGGCCGACTCTATGGTATGGAAATAAATCATTTGATGAAACTCATAAAAAATTCTCATTAGAACCTCGCAATGTCAGACTTTGATTAGCAAGTGATGGTTTCCAACCATTTACTCATTCAAAAACATCATATAGCATTTGGCCAGTCCTACTCATTCCATACAACTTACCACCATGGATGTGTATGAAAGAATCAAATTTTATTCTTTCCATGCTTATACCTGGCCAGATAGCCCTGGAGATGCAATTGATGTCTATCTTCAACCTTTGATAGAAGAATTGAAGGAGTTGTGGGAAGTAGGTGTGAACACGTTTGATGCTTCTAGCCGCCAGAACTTCAATTTGCATGCATCACTATTATGGACGATTAATGATTTTCCTGCATATGGAAATTTATCTGGCTGGAGTACTAAAGGTAAGATGGCATGTCCATCTTGTAATTAATGACACTTGTTCGATGCGTTTAGTCAATTGCAAGAAACAATGCTACATGGGCCATCGATGTTTTCTTCTAGAAAATCACAAATGGAGGAATGATAGAAAATCTTTAGATGGGTCAAAAGAGTTGGTGGTCCTAAAGTGGTGAGATACAAAGCCTAGAGGGGGGGGGGGTGAATAGACTTTGTTACAAATTTAAAAACTTTTTTGTTTCTTTTGAAAACGTGAAAATGAGTCTTAATCTAAAATTCTTGTGAACTTAGATTGTGTGCGGAAGTTGGTGGGTTATTAGAGTAGTAATCAATATGGATGAGTTAGTTTCACAGTTAATATAATTGCAAGTATAAGTAAGGACAAAAGAGAGACACACACAAACTTTAACGAGGTTCGAAGGTGGGGTAATCCTTCTACGTCCTCAAAATCCACTATGTAGTTTGTTGTTGAATAATGAACATCCAATTACACTTTTGTGAATTTCTGCACGGTATATCTTCGCAAGGCCAATTTTGTTACTGCACACGTGCTGGCTTTGTTGTTCCTTCGAAGGTCACTCTTCTTCAACAACAGCAAGGTCCGAACAATAGGACTTGCAAGATCAACTTGTAGAAAGTTGATGTGCCCCATTTTAATCAAGAAGTTTGATTAAAAGTTGTAGCCTTCAACGTGGTGTGGAACTTGAGGCAAGGAAACCTTCAAGTGTTTACACTATAGCTCTTTGGAAGGAGGGGGGAGGTTTGCTTCTGGATAAGGAGTTTAAAAATCTCTCTTTATCAAGCTGTTTGGCTAACTGTGAATGAGATAGTTTTAATTCGTCATTGTAGTTTTGTTCGCTATCTCATATGGTTGTTTTTCACCAGTCTTCCATGGAAGCTATATATTTGAATGGAATAGACTATCCGTTGCATTTGCTGGCTTCAATTTGAACGAAGAGTGAGATTGAGGATTCTTCATTGGAATGGGTGTTTGGAAATACCCAATTGTTTGAAGAAGGATTCTTTTTTCACATAATTCGTCCTTTAGCTGTTCAAGAATTCTGGACTGTAGCACTTTATTGAGTGGATTACTTATTTTGTCTTCTTGTGTTTGTTTAGAATTCTGGGCGAGCTCTTCAATTCGAGAAGTCCAGACTTTGTCTTCATGTCATTTGTTCTTGAATCTGCTTAATTATCCCAATCTAGCTGTTGAAAATCAAGATATTGATTTTTCCTTACCAACGGGTAGAATTTCTTCATTCATGACTTTCTAAATCTTTTCTCACTTGTCAGCTTCTGAGAGTTCCGGTCTTCCTTGAGACATCCGGTTCTTTGCTGACAATTCCAGATTAGTCATTCTTAGACTTCCAGGTGAGAAAGAAATGTTGGAAAACATTTTCACTTTGACATTTTGCTAATGACAATGTTTGTTTCCGTTTAGGTTTTGATATTGACAAACCGTAGGGAACATGGAACAAAATGAAAACATTCAAAGAGATAGAAAAAGTTCTTTGAAGAAACAAAAAGCACAAGAAAGGCATTGACGTTGCTAAAGATGTCGACATTGGCGCTTTGAAGACGTATTCTAGAGACTTAGGTTTTATTGTAACAAGCTCATTCAATTTCTCTACGTCATGGCTCAAAACAAAATATGTTTTTCATGCATCAAATTATTGTTTTCATAAATAGTTTTTAAGTTTCTAAAACCCATGGTTCTTGCTTAACCAAAACCATAACCATCGGTTATCGGCGTTCGGCTATGGCGTTCGGTTTTCGGCATTGGTTATTGGCATTGATTTTAACCAAATGGTTTTTGGGTTTTTATCCTTGGTTTAAGCTTCTGGACACATTAAAAGGTTTTCCAAATCATTAGTTTTCAAAAACCATAACCTTTGTTTTTCGGCGTTGGTTATCAGCATTCGGTGTTGGTTATCGGCGTTGGTTTTTGGTGCCCAAATCAATCAAGTGGTTTTTAATATTTTATGATTGGTTTTTACTTCTGGACATATCCAAATGGTTCTCCAACAAAAACATGTTAAAAACCA